GAAAGCTTCCTCTTGAGTCTCTCTGTCCTTGCCCGGAAGATGCGGAACCTTCTACCAGATTGCAGAAGTTGGAACAGTTTGTTGCCAGGATGGGACGGGTCCTTCAGTATCTGCGCTGCTCTAGTCCGGCATCTCCTGGTGTAGGTGTCCTGAAGCGGGGGGAGAGCAATCCTGCAGCAGCGTTCTGCTGTACGGATCACTCTCTGGAGAGCTTTTTGGTCCTTCACACAGCTGTTCCCAAACCACGATGTCATGTTCTGTGTGAGGATGCTCTCCACAGCGCCTGTATAGAAAATCCTGAGGATCTTTGGAGAGACCCTGAACTTCCTCAGTTGTCGTAGGTGATACAGGCGCTGCCTAGCCTTTTTGGTCTGGACCTGAATGTGGGCAGCCCATGTCAGGTCTGAGGAGATGTGGACACCAAGATACTTGAAGGACTGCACCCTCTCCACTGGAGCTCCATTGATGATAATGGGCTTGTAGTCTCTGTGCTGACCCCTTCTGAAGTCCACCACCAGCTCCTTGGTCTTGCGACGTTCAGCTGGAGGTGGTTGTCCTGGCACCATGATGCCAGATTCTTCACTTCATCCATGTAGGCCGCCTCATCGTTGTTGGAGATGGCACCCAACACCACTGTGCCGTCAGCAAACTTCACAATAGTGTTGGAGCCATGGGTGGCCACACAGTCTGAAGTGTAAAGGGAGTAGAGCAGTGGCGAGAGGACACATCCCTGAGGTGCTCCTGTGTTGATGGTGATGCTGTTAGAGACGCATCTACCCACCCTCACCACCTGAGTTCTGCCAGTGAGGAAGTCCAACACCCATGCACACAGACGGCTGTTAAGTCCCAGATCCCTCAGCTTTGTGAACAGTCTGCAGTCTGGATGATGGTGGATCTTTTGAAGCATGTGGGGACCACAGACTTCGCCAGGGACTCGTTGAAGATGTAAGTGAACACACCTGCTAGCTGGTCAGCACAGCAGCGCAGCTGTGCTAATCTGGCATTTGCAAAAATAATAAAGACAGTGATATGGAAAGGAACAGTAGGCGTATGCATCGGCATACAGTTTAATTCACAGCACCTCAGAGGAAAAGTTAGGCAACTTGTAAAATACTTTCCGCCCCCCTTTCTTTTGTAAAAGAAGATGAGAATTAACACAGATAATGAGCTCGCTTTCGTCCATTCAGTTTAAGGCTGATGCAGCTATAATGTGTAGCCCAGAAGTGGACGCAAGAATCACAACTTCATCTCCATTGAGCAAAATCAGCTCTCTGCTATATTTGCTTTGTGTAATATGCAGGAAAAACCGTTTTATCAACAAAATTTTGGAAATTACAGGTTGTGTTGGTGAGGCTATTTCTTAGTATGTGCTAATATATAAATAGTGCACGTCAAAGTCACTGTTAAAGAGGTGGCAGAGGTTGTGGTGCAGGAGGATGGACAAACAGGAGAAAGTTTAGAGAATGTTTTATGAATAGAACATTAACAAAAACACTTTGCTGATGCTTTCGGGGGTGACATTTATCCCACTCATAGTCAGTGTCGATCCTTTTGTTTATTGCTGATGATTGATTTGATGCTGGGTTCCCTCCTTTCCTCCGTTCCCATCCATTATTCCAAACTACCTTATAACACTGCACAATAGCGTCATATGTAATTTACAGACACTGCAGCAGTAACAGAGATCACACGTACCTTTCAGTAAAAGAGCATTTTCACCCCCAAATGTCAAACTATGCTTTTAACATACAAATCATCATTACAGTTGACATAAAGTCACCGTGACAAGTCTTGTTTCATTCTTTTCCATTTGACATTTATGCATGTATTTGTAAAAATTCAGTGCAAGTGTATGATAAGCAAACGAAAACATCATGGAAAAACATCTCAGTAAATGTTACATTTGAAAATTGGCTAAAATCTCCTCAATCTTCATTGCATGTCTCTGCCTCCCCTGAGGCAACAGAAAGGCCTCCAATAGCCTCCGAAACATCTCGCCTTCAAGAAATGTGTGACATTTGCCTGCCCTAACATAACCCACCACGGTCTCATTGATCAGCTCATTCATCCCTTATTAGGTTTCCGTGCAGTATTTCCATTAAACGACAGATCACTTTCCTCATAGGCAGCTTGCACGTGTGCTCTGCAGCATTGTGTCCCACAGGGACCACTGTTGCATGATGATTTTCCTCTTTTCTTTTTTTTTTTCCTCCCCACAGTTTGAAAGCTTCAGGCACAAAGTTGGCTTTATCGGCATCGCCACAGGAAATACACACTTCAATCTCTCTTAGGACAAAAATCTTCCACAGAGAAAAGCTGCACTGCAAAAAAAACTGCCAAAACATAAAAACCAATGATCATTTTGAAGTCAGTCAGACTGCTTCATAACCACAAGTGCGACAGTTTACGATTCAGAGATGAAATGCTGCTTATGAAAGGATTTTACCAAAGAAAAAAAGTCAAAAGATTTAGTATTTAGCACCCTAACACAGAACCAGCTCACCCTTTTAGCTTTGCCATTTAAGCATTATACTCCACTACAGTTAATAGACTTCTAGCTTTGTTCATTGGAGGCTGTTTTTATTATAGCACAGAAAGTGTTAAAAGCATCTGTTGGCAAAAGTCGGGTGACTGGGGTTTATTTTCATAACACAGTTTATTCATTCCATCAGAATGAAACCTGACTCCGGAGAGCAGAGAAGTAGCGTGCAATATCTCCACAGTTTCCCAAAATTTCACTGGTAGAAGATAAAGCCTTTTTGGCTACACTACCTTTTATATCCATGGCAACAGGCTTGAACCATTGCAGAATTCCCCAGTATTATGGTAATACTAAAGGTCACCGGTGATGGCTCTGGAGATTTTTGTAGCTATGTATTCAGCACTGTGGCCTCAGATCCTATGTCAGAAATCTCCCCCATGCTGATTAATATAAGTCTACAGATGGTTATTAATGTATGCCGTTTATTTTGTATTCATCAAGTTTATGTTGGGCTTATGGTTGTGTCTCACCTCTCTGCTGCAGAGGCGAGTCAGGCAGTGTCGTGCTCTGTTTTGGAAAGGAAAAATAACACGACACAGTTGTTACTCTTAGGAGGATTGCATTTTGGCTTTATTGATAGACAAAATTGGCAGTGTTTTTTACTTTATGATCAGCACTAACTACGCTGCCTGTTATGGCGAGGCAATGATATCGTCATATAATAAACCCCAGACTGCCTATTATGTCTAACACAGCAGTCAGATCACCTGTACCGTGATTTTCTCTCTGCTGCGAGGAGTGAGGAGAAATGGAAACCATAAACCTAGAATCGTAATCATTCCAGGTCTTTTTTTTTTAGTCCGAGACATACCGTAGGTCCCATAGGCACACAAAAATTGTATTAAATCTCTGAAAAACAACGGTTTCTCTTTATTTCCATTGCAGTGGCAATCTATGCTTTTGTTTTTTGCTTTCTGGCAGTCAGACAGCACCCAGATGTAAGCTCAAATATTGGCTTCAGAATATTTCAGAACACCAATGCAATGTTTAGTAGTGTGTTTTTACAGTTGCCGTATTAGCTTATAAATGCTGCAAAGACCACAAAAACAAATGCAGAAATACTACAACCTGGAAAAAAGGACAGCAGCCAATAAAGCAATTTCTTACAAAAACCCACCTAATCTCTTGAAGGTACCACCTTTTCTTCTTCAGCGTTTAAAGGGCTTTCATTTCCTTCACTGAAATCAGTCCCTCTATCTGGAATCCTTCTTTGACAAAGTATAGCTGGGTTTCAGCCGACTACAAGTGCTAACCACATCTTGCTACACTTTTGTGATGTCAAGGCCGATCTGTCTTCTTCCAGTTTTCCTCTGCAATTGCAAAATTGCTGCCTTACCTAAGTGGCGACAGAAGAACTCTGAGAGAAATGATGCATCCCTCCTCCCTCCCTCTTTTCTAATTTTCTGTATCTGCTAAAAAAAAAAAAGTCTTAGACTAGTTTTAGTAGTTTTTATCAATTGTACATTAAAAAGGTCCAAGTTGAATTTTAGGTCAGCCTGAGGGCATCACTACATTTCTGCTGCATTCCATCATCTGCTCACATAGAAATATCCAACAAAAGAAGCCTCTTATCAATATGTTTGACTCGTTGCTCTATCTCGCTGAGTATTGGGAGTAATCAGGGCAGTCCTTTGACACCAATTTCATGGTCGTCAGTGGTATGCACGGTCACAGAAAGTTGAGCATTTGTTGGTGATTAATTTTTTTCTCTCAAGTCCCCCTCAGTCCTTGCACCAGCTCTGATCTATGATGGCTAACTGAAATGAAGCTGCTCATTAAAAACTTTAGATGGGTGTTTTGAAGAATTTTTTTTTTCCTTTTACTTAATACTAACAAAAATGGGACCAAACAGACACTTTTTTGTAGTGTGCAGTGGACCCTTCTGGTGTATGCCTACC